GGATGGGCAACGATTAATCGCGATTAATCGTTAGCAAAATAAAAATTTGTGTTTACATAATATATGTGTATAATTAATTTGTATATATATATACACACACATGCATGTATATATTTAAGAAATATTTGCATGTATATACTTTATATATATTTATACATAATTAATATTATATATAAATATTTGACATATTAATAACACATTTTTCTTAAATATATACATGCATGTGTGGGTATTTCTATATACAAATTAATTATACACACTACACACACATATATTATGTAAACACAAACTTTTATTTTGCTAGCGATTAATCGCTGCCCATCCCTAGCGACGAGGATTTGTAATGCAGCCATTTAAACTCTGCTTCTCTGCGTTCAGTCACGTGACGCTGGCTCTGAACAAAAACACGATGTGGAAACGCGTTGGCCTAGTACTTTTTGTCCCTCTCTGATATTATAGTTTTTCAAGATGGCGAACTACATGAACCGCCCGTCCCATGTATATAAAGATAATAAATTCTTCGTTTACGAGGATAAGTCAGAGATTTGGCAGAGGTATTTGTATACCACGGAGGACATATTTATTAATTAAAATGTTGATTTTAAATAATAAAATACATAAAAAGTACACATTGTCCCTTTAATCATGTTGATCCATCATTCCTAGAACAAGCTTCTGCAAAACTGCCGTCCAATGGTTTCTACAGTGAGAATCATATGAGCTCATATTGATCTTCTGTGGCCCAAAATGACTGTGTAGTGCATTATGGGTAATAATCTAGACAGCCGAACATTTTATCTTCAACGGATCAGAATGAAAGTCGGGACAAAAATACATTCAGGAATTCCACGATTCTTCACACTGAAAGTCATTCACGGACAATTTAAGCGAATCCCAGCATACCATCTTTGTGTTTGGATAACACTTCACGTTCTGACGCAAAGATCTGCCACAGTAAATGGAAAACACAATAGAGAGATTGTCAAGGGTCTAGCAGACTTTGCTTTTAGTGCAAGTCATGCTAATGGAAGTGCACTCAATACACGGTTCAGTTTAACACAGATTTGTATAAAGGCCTCAATGTGATTCTGTCAGCATGCATACGGCTGTTTTACATAATCACAAACTATGTTACGGGCTCAAACACGTCCTCAAACAATCTGTGTCTTGAACGTTAGCAGTTGTTGAACATTAAGTTTCGGATGTTTACTGTGATTTTTCAATTGACACGATTCCAACAGTTGTGGCTCAAAGAAAAACTTAAACTCCCAACACAGATGATGGATTATACGCTCATTATTTGGCCTTTAATATTATTACCACTTCCTAATTAGTGCATGCTATGTTTAAATGCAATACTCAATTTTACTCTACAGAATAAAAATGATGCAAGGAATTGTTAGGAAACTTCAATGCAACATGATGCATTTTCTGTAAGTAACAATTCTCAACTTTCCAACAGAATTCATTTGGGCCAACATGAGTTTAAATTCACATTTCTTCCTAAACTGGAACATATGTGTACATAGGCTCAATATAAACGTTCTATAGCGCTATAAAAATGTGATGACTGTCAAACAAATCTTGAAAAACGCTCAAGAGACAAAACAGGCTTCTGGATATTAATTTGTAAGAAGCTCAATAGAATATTCCTGAGGGATCAATACTTTATTATTTCAGACTGTTTGGGAAATCCCATTGAAATCCCATAAAAACAACTTACAACCTCATTCACATTACAACCTAATCCGATATATCAACCCCAACCTCTGTGTGTGCATGTCAATCAAAGCCATCGCGTGCGTTACTGCTGTTCTCCACAGGATAACGTCAATGTTTACAAACTGCTTATGCGTGTAAAAAAATTAAATTCTAAGTTTCTAAGTCATTTTTCAATACTTCACTCTTCAAAATATCAATGGGTTATTTGCCATTTCTTTGAAATTCAAATCAAGTCAAATTTATTTATATGATGCATTTTTGCAAAACACATTGTTTCAAAGCAGCTTTACAGAAAATCTAAGTTATTATTTGTAATAATTATTTGTGAAATTCACCAGTGAAAATTGTTTCAAAGCATAACTTACACCAAACTTTCCTACAGTATGTCAACGCCACAATATGTAAAAGTTAACCCATTTATTTGTACACCAGGCAAAAACTACACGCTTATACTCAAGACATGATTTCACGACGCGTGTTTGGAAGAAAACATCACATGACTACTTGCACCAGTACTACACTGCAAAACACGATTTTTTACTATATTTTACAAGCAATTACTAAGTAAAAATGTATTCAAAATAAATCCCATGCCAATTTGTCTTTGTATAATAGAACAAACATTTTTGGAGTATGTTTTATGAGAAAATACCATTTTAGGTTTTTTACACAAAATTTCACGTTCAATGCGTTTCTTGCACTTTCTTTGTAAATGTTTGCGATATTTACTCATTTCTGAGTGAAAGCTGTTTTTGCACCAAATTTCTTTCCAGTGTAGTGTTGATTGACTTGGAAAAGACCACAAGAAAAACACATACTGTTGCTTTAAATCCCAGTTCTTGCTTCAGGCGACCCATCCCCCATTTCTCACAAACACTCTCTCTCTCTCTCTCTCTCTATCTACTAGCCCCCCCACTCAAGCGCCACAGCTTGCATCCATAACACAACATGCAAACCACCGTATGTCCCTCTGGATGATCCCATGGCAGCTCTACAGCTCCTCTGATTGGAGCGCTGATGGACTATACGGTGGCCATTTCAGTCCAGAGAGGAATTTCACTTCACCCTCCCCCCGTCCAACCATGTGGTCAATCCTTTGAACAAACCCGACACACACACCACATACAAGACGGTCTCGTGGTCAGTAATGCAGCGGCCCTCCGAGGTGAACCGTTCAGCAGAAACGCTCGTATGTACAGGCAAACTGACCCCACATCCCAAAACTCAAGCAGATATGAGCAGTAGCGGAGCATCAAGACTCATTTGCTTCCTCCAATAGAAGGGTGTTTAAAAGCCACACCGCCCTGCTTTTCTTTTTACGGCACCCTCTGCTCAGCCACGGGAATCTTGGAATGCTCTACGCAAAGACTATTACACAACACACACACACACACACACACAACATCAGGCTTTACTAGCCCTCGCGGAATCGCAAAAAGCATTGAACATTGACAGAAAGACACACCAGGGACACATTACACCGAGAAATCATGAAATTATATTTTGCATTAAGAAAATTAAGGCATAATAGAATTGTTGGCAACCAATATGACCTAATGACTGTAATGTTTTATTTCTATTCTATTCTTATTTCTATACACTGAATCAATTTTTACTCTGAAACTGCTAGCAAATTTAACAAATAAATGACAAGTAACGCTTGATCTAGACAGACTGAAATAGTATTTTCTTGCCAAACTTTATTTACAACTTTGAAAAGTAATTTTCACAGTGTAATAGGACAATGAAAATCATTCTAAAAATGTGAAATATATAAAATATCAGCCACATATTCTGCATTTCAATACACACAGCATGATATTAATGAGAATTTTAGTGGAAAATGTGTTGCATATTCATTTTTAGCGGATGGATTTATCCAAAGCGACTTACAAATCAGGAAAACAGGAATACAACAAGCGATTCATTGAAGTTGGACAGGTTTTAGACAGGTTTTGTGAGATTCACCAGCATATCTACTGGATCTCATTGAAACCAATGCAAGAACATTTTCTGTTTCAGCTTCAAAACACAACTTTCAACTCTCCATAGAAGACAATAAACATCCTTGAAGACCAACTTCTACTGAACCAAAAACATGTGACGTTTGAAAGCACATCTCCGAAGTTGCTTTATAACCTAATTTCGAACAACTTCTTGAGTATTTTCACTCTAGGAGTATGAAGCGTATACCAAAGTATGGGAACTCACGAAACTTCAGAGCAGGGTTATTTTCGTCCACTAAAACTATTCAAGCATTTATGTTAATTGGAAATAGAATAAAATAGAATTATTAGTTGAAAACCAAATGAATCTTAGAAATGTTGCCTGGTAATAAACTGAACCATAACATTATTAACTGGAAATAAATGAAATTAAAGAGCAAAATACTTTACAAAATGACCAAAGCACATAATAAAATTAGAAAAATAATTAATAATTACTAGAAATTAACATAAAAACAAAAAAAGCTCCTTCAAAATATTAATAAAAATAATAATAACATTGAATCTGAGGCACAAAACTTCACTATATAAATTACTTTTTTTCTTCTTTCAGAATTCCCAGTATTTTACCCAACAAGGCCATTCCTGGAGGTAAAACACTGGGAAATGTGTCCCTGAAATGACGACAATGCATCCGTCCGCATACATATTTCATCTGAAATAGTTTATTAAAGTGCACTGTGATGTTAGATGCTATTTCTGTGAATTCAGCATGATATTGAGCTGTATAGATCCACCCCTCCCCCCAAACCCTCCAACACAACAAAGCCACAGTCCAGAAGCAGCCAAACACACATTTACTGCATTCAGAGGACTTTCTGTGGGATGGGTTGACTTGAGGAACACTACCACAAATCAATACACTCACTATAAAAGCACGCACTATCCTATCTATATTTAACATTGATGCATAAATCACTTACACCCAATATGATGATGATGCACTTGATTCATAAATGCAACTATGTACCAAGTATTATACATCCTTGGACTGAGTTGGCTGTCCTCGTGTTATTGTTAATGACAGTGAGTAGTATTTGTAGTTCTGAATGAATGAGCACTAAAACAAAGATACATTATCTGTCACTACTATAATTATTCATCAAACGCTGATGGAACTCAAACAGGTTTCCTAATGCAAATACGACAGTCGCTTTAGCAATGCAATGTCCAATGCACCCTATCAAAATGCATGGTTTATATTGAGAAAGTAAGAACTGCATTCATGCAAATCTCACCCAAGTCTTGTCAGAAGAATAAATGAGCGCTTACCTGCACAAAAAGTTCCCAGAAGAAGTGCAAAAGTCAGCCAGGAAGCGAGCATATTCCTCTAATGGCACAAAAACACTCCAGGTTTTCTCCTTTTTAGTGTCTTCTGCTTCGCACACATTTAAAACGATCGGTGGAAACACACACACACATATGCACACATTCACTCACTCACACACACTCTCTCCCTCTCTCACACACACACACACGAGCCCGAGTGACCGTCGGCCTGATGTCCACCCAATCAAACTTTAACATATGCAGAAATCCATCAGGAAAAGCGGCTATTCCAACAGAAACGCCTTCCAGCATGAAACAATGAGTGATTTCCACCCAAAAGCCGGTCCGTGTGTGAAGCTTATCCTGTTCAGAGTGAGAATGGCTGGACAGGGTCCGATTCTGACATGCACGGAACTGAACTGAGTCCAAAATGGCTTCGGAGAGCGAAACACAGCCAGCAGGGAAACAATTTTCCAGATCTACTAAGTCGAAGGCTCGGCTCATGAATATTAACTACGCACCGTGACGCTCGTCCAGCAGCGCTCCCTCATTGGCCGAGCCTGCTGAGAAGGCCTGGCTCATGAATATTAATCAATCGAATGACTGGACGCTCTTGGAATGTTGGCGAGCGACGTCACCAAAAAGTCATTAATATTCAGGAGCCGTGGCCTTTCCGTAGTAGGATTGGGAATTTCGCAGCAGGAAAACCCGGATGTTGAAACACAAAGAGAGAAATGCAAAGCCTTTGAGTCCATATGCTGAGGCTACACAATATACACACACATACCGCTCGTCACGTCTCTTTTAAAGGCCAACACTGCGGTATTTTGGTGCGAATATGAACAGGAAAGCGCTTTATTTTTGTCTACTGTTTTGATTTGGCGTGATTTGATTGATTCACCTGAACATTAGTTACTGAGATAAAACTAATGCCCTTTGGAACCATAATTCCAAACTAAATTGGCAAATAAATAAATATAACTGATACAATTAAACATAAAACAACAACAAAGCAGCTAAATCATACTGCTGTTACATTGATAGAGTAGAGAACGTAAGATCATATTTCAAGATAATAATCTCAATATGAAACTGGGCAAAGTGCCTAGAGTTTAATATTAAAAAATGAAATATCTAGTGCTTTAATAATCACAGGATGTAATTATCCGTGTAAAAACACACTGTGAGTAAAACTGCTTAAATGCAGGTCTCCAAAAAATGCTAAATTAATTCTCAATTAATTTAAACAACAAACTTGTGAATCCATATAGCCTACTTTTTAGGAGACAGAAGAACATTAAAATGATGATTCTCCCGTCAAGAGCATACTGAAAATCTTAAAAAAGATATATATGAAACTTTTTGTTTCATATATGTTTTATGTATCATGTTCTTACTGTAGTGGATTATTTTTTTAATACTGTATTATAGAAACAACATTTTTCTTTAAGTGATACTTTGTTGTAAAAATGAGCATCCATTGAAAAAAAAATAATTAAGCTTGCAAAGATTTTTCCTGATTTTAATGCTTTTTATAAATATTTTACAAGGGTGGATTAACAGTTTGGGTAGGGGACTGGTATAGGCTAATAGAGGAATTTTATATATCAAAATGATCTGGCCTTTAATAATGCTCTGAAAACATTAGCACAAACATTGTTTTTGGAACCTTTTCTGAAACGTTTTAATTGGACGCTCGTCATTTTTAAATGTTACTTGTTTCGAATTGGCCAGAGAGAACTTTCAAATGTAACATTCCCGTATTGTTTGAAGATGATGGAATGGAATGTTTCCTTAACTTTAAAAAAAACTGGACGTTTGGAATGTTCTTAAAACTGATGGAAACGTTCTTATAACAGATGGGATTATGTTTCGCTGCAATGCATCTAAAAGATAAAAATTTGGAACGATGGGATTTAAATTTATATCTATATTTTTTTTTTCTTCATTTTTCACTAGTCATAGGTGAGATAAGGTTACAAAACTGTGGCTCTCAAAGCTCTCAGCTCATTAGAAATAATAATAAAAAACATTTGTTGCTTTCCTTGTCATAAAGTTATAAAACAAAACAGTTTTAAATTAAGTTAAGAAGCAATCAAAGAAAAATTGTAAAAAAAATTTTTGTCAAATTAGTTTTATCAGGCTGTTTTGTGGCCCAAGAACTGAAAGGCAAATTATATTCTGTGCAATTACTGTGACACCAAACTGCTTGAGTCACTCTCACAAACACAAAGCTGTTATTTTGATAATTATATTGTTGTGAAGAATCAGACCCTCGTGTCATGGCAAAGAAAAGAGCAACTTCATAGGAGGATAAACACTAACACTGTAAACATGAATACGGCTGTAGTGTTTAATAACTCTGGGTCTTCCTCACACTGACAGCAGAGAGAGCTCAGATTGAGAGATGAGCAGCTGAAGCCACTCCAAAACTCCGCTAAGTAGGTCTGCCAAACAGCACTTAGACAAATAAAATATATGACAACCTGTATAGAGTCATTACAGTCGGCCATAGATTCAACACAAACCCCAACTCTATTACTGCACGGGTTTCTCTCACACAGATCGCATCGATCGCAGATCAGCGCTGCCAAGAGACAGAAAAACTGTATAAATAACCCTGTTTCATTTTAAAAGACTGTAAAAATGCTACTGTTAATTGGTTAACACAAAGTTTCCGTACTATATACGGTAAATACCTGTGATAGACATCATTAATGTAATTTTACTGTAAAATAACGGTAAATTTACATTTTTTTGAAAGTGAAAAAGAACAACTTATTGTATAATTTACAGTGAAACCCCGTAAATTGACATTCCCACAATTGCCTACGTGACACCTAACATTTTATGTGTTTTTGGTGAAATACTGTAACTGTTTCTTTACAGTTTTCTTTTTTTTCATCAGGGTTTTATGTTACATGTAATATTGTGAAATTAATGTTTACTGCATTTTTTTAAAGTTACCATGATGGTGTTTAATATTTGTGTTAAGCCTTTATTTAAGTGATAATCTTATTTTGAAAGACTGATGATGAGCTTTGATTGATCATGTGACCACCAATCTTTACTGTAATTGGTGGTTGTCAGTGTATTACATCAAATCAGCTATCAATATTTCAATAGGTTGGTAACTTAACATTCATTATATATTTTGCATGTCTGCTTAACTGTTTGACCCGAAAGAAAATGAATCTGTCAGTGCCAAGGTATACGTATCGCTTTATATATCATCATGAATATACTTTATACTTTATTTAACTCAAACTTCACTATGGACATCAATGATGGATGGATTCTCAGCTAATGTACTGATAAAATATACATCATGAAGCGCACACACACACACACATTGTGGCACATAAAGCAAGTGCACTGAATGAATGAATGCACAGGCCATTCCCTCCGTCCTTCCTCGTCTCTGTAAAAGCTGCCGTGATAAAAGCTCTTCAATGTGTGTGAATAACTGAATATAAAGATGCGCTCGGCCTTCAGCGTCTCGGACACACACAGGCGACCTGCGGCTCATACAGGACCTGAAGGAAACCTTTCACTGCGGCTCGCCGTGCTTTCAGGACAAGAGGACCACAACACACTTCGAAAATAAACTGAGAGTGTCTGCTGGTGAATAGGGGCAGAGAACACACACACACACACTTGTTTAGCTTGTTCAATCCGCTGTACAACACGGTTAAAGGGACTCTGTGTAGGAAATACCCCCATCTAGTGGTTAAATATTATTTTGCATCCAAACGAATTTTGCTCTCCAGCGCCTCGCATTTTCAAGTGCGTATTGCATCTACGGTTGCCGTTATGTACCAAAAATGCTATGACAGGATGTCTTGTAGTATCACTTCATCGAGTTTTTCTCCGGGTGAACAGGTTTGTAACTTAAAAAAAAAAAACAGCAACTTATGTGTTAACTTATGTGTACAATTTATGTGTCTAGCTGTATAAATTAATTTTAATTCTCTGTACAATCTTATCCACATAGCAAAATCACAATTTTAGCTAATTGATCATTTATATATAAAAAGAAAGCTATAGAAAATCTTACAGAGAGCAATATTTTCTTACAATCATTATCTCTATATTCTTACTGAATTTATAGGTTATAAAGAATTAACTTACAAACCTTGTTTTTAGAACCTTCCTTCACAATAGCTGCGAGTAAAGTAGTCAATAGCTGCTATTCATCAAAGACCTTGTTTAACTTTTTTACCTATAAATGTTATACTGTCTATATAATAAAGTACACAACCAAGCAATGACAAAAAAATTAAGTCAGACTGTAACATTGACTAACCTGTCGAGGAGAAAGCAGGCAACTTCAGCGTCTCTTCTGAAATCTTTCTGCTGCATTAGCTATTTCCACGGTTGAAAACGCTATCCCGATATTTAAGGCCATTGCACACTGAGCACGAAATATTCGTATGCGTATTTTCCTGTACGTCAGCCTAAAAATTCGTCACGCATAGAAACCTTGCACACCGAGTCCGTTGCGTATTTATTAAACCTTTGCGGGAAAAAACGCAAAAATACCAAATGGATTCGTCAAGCAGTGAGGATGATTTTTGCCCTCTCTCATATTGAAAAGAGAAGAAATAGAAAATATCCATCCAATCCTGAAATTGCGCCGAGAGGATTTATCCTGAGCGATTCAAAATTTACCTCAGAATGTCAGCGGGACAGTTTGATGCTTTGCTAGCGATTCTGGAGCCACATATTAAAAACAAGACCACCAATTTCCGTGAACCATCGATTCTGAACGGAGACTGGCAGTGTGTCTGGTATGGACCAGGTATGGACACACACAAACACACACACACCCGCGCGCGGCCCTGTGGAAGCGCTGGGCAGACAGAACAGCTAGGCTGTTATTGTGTATGTATTGTGTATATTGTGCCCAAATAATACATTAGTTATCGAATAGGCTGCTCAATCACACCTTATTCGATCCTAAATTTCAATCTGATTGAAAGGGGAGGTTTATTAATTTCATAATCCAATAGCTATAGAGAAGAGAACATAAACACTTGATCGTATTGAAAACCGAAACTGAAAGCACGGCGCATAATGTTCAATGATTTGAGGACGAGCTCCCCCGGCCCTGAATTGTCAAAAGACCTCTCAAAATGCTGGCTCTGGATGCGAAAAACGCAGAAAATCGAACCATATCTGATTAATTTTATGACGGAAAAATTAATGGCCGTGTTTTTTGCAATCTCCGGTCACGTTTCCTTTTTCGTTCAAGTCTGGCCTTTTTTTGCGATGAGGATGCATTCTCCTGTGACTCGGCATATGGTCCGCAACAAATAATAGAGCAAAAGAGCAATCAGCAATCATAGGAGTGCAATGCAGCCGTTTAAACTTGCAGGGAATGCGCCTCTCAATGTGACGTGACGATGGCTCTGAGTCTGAACGAAAACGCGTTGTGG